AAGATTGTATTTTTATTTTTAAATGAATTTATATTTGGAGAATAGATTTGTAAAAAGTGTTAAAGTCACCGGGAAAATCCCAAAAAAAAAATCAGTCTCAACAGATCAGCAATTTTGAACTGGCCTGGTGCATCAAACATTTGGCGCATTATCACGATAGAAAGGCACAAACTGATTAGTTCATATTGACTTGGCTGTGCGCCAGGACCAGGATGTCTTTCTTCTCTTTGGGGAAACGTAATTCACGTCCAGCTAATCGTGCAGATTCTAATTCTCTCTCGGCCTGGTTTAGTTCTCTTCTAAGGGCCCCTTTGCACTCTTGCTCCCTAGCTATCCAGTCGAGTGCCATTTGAGATCTCATATCATCATCAAGTGTTCGATTCGAATAATGAGCAACAACTTCTTGACGACTACACTGGCGTTCCCTCATCGCTTTCAAACTACCATTCCAATGGAGCAATTGAAACACTGTCATTAACTCCTGGAACTCTAACATAGTGCGGCCTTTATTCGATTCCAACATAAATCGAAAAGCTCCTATGCCAGTGTTCGGGTTATCCGCTTCTTCTGGTTCTCCCTTGAACGAAGCTCGCGCTTCAGCAACGGCCTTTTCTATGAAATCGTCAGATATTCGTCTGGACGGATGTTCATTAAAAACTGAGTTCATTAAAGCTATTTTAGCTGCACTTCGACGAGCCTCTGCTTTCGTTGGACAATTCTAAAAATGTGAAATTGCTTTTTTTTCTGTTTTTAAATCGTAGTATTATTCTTAGAAATTAAGGGTCGAAATTTAAGGATAATTCACACTTTTTTTTTTCCACGATTACCGTTGCGTGTTAAATAGGCATTCTTTCTTAAAGACGGTGCTAAACCGTTTTCGAGTGCGGTGTCAAATAGGTACTTTCCAATATTATTTTTGCGAAAATATTTAAAATAATAGAAACATAAAAAGCGCTCGTGAAATGATTAGAAGATGGAAAGCATTTATTAAACTTCAAGAAGTGATAATTATGTAAAAATGTGTGTAGAATCTCGTGATGTTAACGGTTTTTGAGTGCGATGTCAAATAGGTACTTTCCAATATTATTTTTACGAAAATATATAAAATAATTGAAATATAGAAACGCGCTCGTGGAATTATTGAAACATCGAAAGTATTTATTAAACTTTGAGAAGTTATGATTATGTAAAAATGTACGTAGAATCTCATGGTGGCTAAAAAGTGTTAATTATGTAAAATGAATATAGAATTTCATGGTAATAACGGTTTGGATAGGTACTTTCCGGCATTATTTTTGCTAATATATACATAATACAATTAAAATATAAAAAACGCTCCTGTAATTATTAAGAAATGGAAGGTTTTAACTAACCCTCAGATGAAATCACGTATGCACTGTTATTACAGTGTTTTAATTATTCAGCTAAGGTCCTTCAACCTTTCCTTTTCTCTTCACACAAGGGTTCAATCCTTTCGCCGGCTCCGAGTGTGTGTTTTAAGGATAGACCTTTCCTTTTTTATATTGGACCGTGTATAAAATTTACACTGTTTTGTTTTTTATGTTATGTAATGTTATAAAAATATTAATATGTTTAAACGTGTTCGGGCACGTTAAATAGCTGGGTAATTAAATTCACGCGACAATGGTATGTTTAACGAGTTAAAAGCCATTATCTGGTTTGGTTGCTATTAATAGGCATTAAACCCTGGCTATGGTTCCTATGGTACATGTACACACAGGAATATAAATACATTTATATATATAAACATTTACAAATGTATATTTCATAAAATGGCGATAAAACGAAAAACAAAGGTAATTGTAAGAAGGTTTTATGGTGTTTGTGGTTTAAGCGTTTCTTGAGTCGAGTAATAAAACTGTTTCGTCTATGGAGCCTAGAGTGCCATGGACGCACTCTACAACACCACTTGTCTGTATGTTCGCTCTTAAAATAAAAACATAAATGGTACTGGTTTACGGCATTATTGAAAAAAAAATATATAAATCGCAATAACAGCTTCGAAATAAGGTGTACAAATTGATTCTCGTATATTTCCTTTATGGTAACATAAATTATGAATGATGGAATGTCTATTACTACCTCTCAAGTTTCTCTGGTTGATTGAGAAACATGACATTAAGGAATGCAACAATTTTTCTGTTGCTTTTGCATACAGTTTTTGTTATATAAACACCCATAATTCTTAGAAATAATTATATACACAGTTAGAATCGGATATTTTGAAAATTTTGTCCAAAAACTCGTAAATGTCAATCCGATTAAACGATCCTTTTACGCTCTTTGACTTTAGTAGATGGTCATTAAGATTGCGATTGATAATAACAATTTTATGTTGCTTTTGGATAAAACACCTAGACCACTTAACACCTTAAACGTATATTATCGAGTACGTAATAAATTTTGCAATTTTATGTCTAAGTAAACTTGTAACGTTAGATCGAAAAGCATAAACAATAAATTAAACATACCTATACATACGAAATTAATCATTATAAATCAGCAATTAAACAGAAATTAATTACGTAAAATAATTATAATAGTAAAAGAATTATTCAAGTTTTACAATTTCGGTGAATGCGCCGGGACAGAGATTTCGAAAACTGGAGTTCTCCGATTGTTTCTAAGATTTTCTTTGCTCAAAACCAATGAACTACAGGATTTAATTTGAAATTAGAACAGCCTAACCTAACCTTCAAGATATGCATCGCATTAAATAGAAAAGTAAATAAGTAAATAATAAAGAAACAAACAATCATTGTTTTGCAACCCCTTCCAGTTTGAATTGCCAAAAATTTGTATATTTATATGTTATAAGAATGGCAGAGTGTAGGGGCGGAAGATTGTATTTTTAGTGCAGGTTTATCGTAATAAGATAGCATAAAACTTGAACATTATTATTACTACTACTTAATCTCTCTATGTTTTTGAGGAGTAATTTTTGTACAATTTTCATTTTATTTCGCTTTGAATTCTAGTAATTTAAACTACGACGATATAAATTTCTTTGCTAATAAGTGTAATTCATTTGATGATACTGTATGATTAAGATAGATAGAAAGATGGGAGGGTTGGCACAAAGTGATGTGTCTGTTTAACGGAAAAATTAATTCAGTCACTACAAGAAACACAAAAAGGACTATAAAAATTCACCATGTCCAGCAATCTACAGTATAAGAAAAAGTTACTAATAAATATCGTTTAAAAAAAGACTGTTACAACAAGATTCGAAAACAAGCGTAACGAATGAAAATACCTAATAAAGAAAACGTACACCTAAGAAGAAGTAGGTCAGTTTTTAACATGAAATGGAATTATTTTCCATTAAATAATTTATTTACAGTTTATACCTACTGTAAACTAGTTACTTTTTACAAAATCTATATTTTATTTAATTTCAAATGTTTCAGTTTAGCATATGATATTGAGCAATTTACTACTTCAATTTACTAAATTAATAATTTACCATCCAATCAGGGCGTGCTTTTAATGCTGTAATCTATATAATATATGACTAATATAAGAAGGTGAACTCAAATTTGTTAATTTATTGAGCAATAAAAAATGACTATATAGTGAGTGTATTTTAATCGATAAAAATTTTAGAAACACCGTGTATATAAAGCACACATACGAAGTAAAAGTGTGCACTAAGTAATGGTGTCACATGCGATGAAAAGAAGTGAAGAAATATCAATGCGAGTGAACTACTTAGCTTACAAATTACTAAATTCGAAGTATCTAATTATAAACTTCTAGTAGAACACGTTTATTTGTGATTTTTCTTTTTTTTTTTTTTTGTATGATTGGAAAATAAACTTTCGGGGTTACGCATCTGAAAGCAAACAAGTTAACAGGTTTGGTGAGGCTATAAAGTGAAAAATGGTCTTTCCGAGGCGGAGCTATTGTTTACCTTTATTGTTTGCTTTTGACACAAGTGGCAAAACGTTACCTGAAAACTTCTGAAAATAAAACTTAGACGTACACAAACGCGCACGTATCAATACAATCTAATTTCCCGAAATTACTTTTGACAAAACTAAATCTGTAATAAGTTTAATAATTGTACGAGACACAGCAAAATTTTAGTTGATGAAACTGTCATACAAAATCGCCGCTATATATCAAAAATCAAATGAAAAGATTTTCTTTAAATCAAAAGCAACAAACTTTCGTTAAACTATGTTATTTTTGATTGGATTTTCAATATTTTCCTTCTATTTTTCTTTCATTGCTAATGTTTAACAGCTTTACCAAATCAAATTTTGCAGATTTATTTCGTGTGCAAAACTAATTTTCCCGAAGCTTTTTACGTAGATCATACACCAGAGGTAGACCACTTACTAAAATTATATAGGGACAAAAACCAATATAAATTTATTTTATTTTTGAAGCGAAGTATCAGCAATGTGCATAGTAACTCTTTATGAAGATCTAATAGCACATAATCGGGTTTTAAGAACGCCCTGTATGTATTAATCACAATTCGCGTAGTGATATTAAGTGTACAGCCAGCCGTATGTCCGCTGATGTCTTTGTCTTAAGATGTGAAACTAGAAGTTCCGGCTAATTAAAGATTTTTTAACAATGATACAGTTCCGCTAAAAACTTTAGTTCATCACACAATGCATGCCAATGACTGTCGATTTCTCGATGATAGATTAACGCCAAAACTATAAAGCAAAAACGATTGAAGTTTATGAATGCTGTACCTACATTTCGATTACCATTTTGATAGACAAATTCTAGTTCTAGTTCGAAATCGTAATTTGTAACGCGAATAAGTTTAATGATAATTTGTCTTTCGTGATGGATCTTATGTATATACATATATATCTGCGGTGCCAACGGCCTAAAAAGAACAGAGCGTCTACTAACTGGGGTTCACTCACTAATTTGTACAGGTTCAAATATTCTTTGCCTAATGGCCTGTCTACTGCTAGATCTTGTCTACCAATCTAGGTTAACTTACTTAGTTAAAACTAGAGCACGCATCATTTTCGATTAATTCATTTCGAATGTGTCCGAAAAGAAAACTAACAAACCCTTTATTCCAAGCTCAAAAACCTTTCATTTATCTTTAAGCTTTCCTTTTAAATTATTATTTTTACTCATCAATTACGTTTCCTGTTATCACATAGCCTGGAGATTTATATTATATTTAGACAATTTACTGGTTGGTTTACTGTAGATTATGAAATTAATTTACAGCAAAAATATAGACGTAAAGAGACTTAACTGTTTTTTAATAAAACTTAAAATTTAAAAGCATTTTAAGCCTCTACGCCCTGCACAACGTTAAGGATTTGACCTATAGAACTGTTCGTAAGGAGAATAAAATTTGCTATAAAATTGTCATTTATAGCTTTGCAGTTGGCTCAATCGTTCGCTAACTAGCGACAAAAAACATGAATTTTACATAACAAGACTTTCGAGATTTGCACAGGTCAAACAGTTCAAGCTGCAGTAACAGAAGAACTGAAGTGTAATAAATTATCTATAAGATGAGTCCTTGATAGCATAAAATGTAGACAAGTGGTAATAAACTAAAAAAGTGGTCTCTAAATTTGCATGCCTTTTTAAAGAGAAAACTTGAAGAACAAATTTTATAGAAAGTTGTTAACCATCTTATAATTCCTTTGCGTTTACTATCGCCCTTTTCATTTAAATTCTCACCTGAAAGCTTCCAAAACATGACCCTCCTGGTAAGGTCACATAACAAACATAAGGTTGCGAACTAGAAGGCACAGATTCATATATAACAAGAGCACCATTTCTTAAGTCAGCCCCACGAGCCTGCTTCATTTGCCAAAACTCTTGAAGAGCCTCAACAACATTTACTGAAATACATAAAAAAAAAATTGTTTCTGATATCTAAACAATACAAAAATCCTGCAGTAAGCAATTAATTTCGGTTAAACTATTTTTGCGAGATTTTGAACTGATTATTGAAGTTTAGGTAGTATTTATATAAGAAGCAGAGATAAGCTTTAGCAAACCCTTTCTGTTATTAAATCTAACTAAATTAAATTAAATATAATGATCGAAAAAAGACAGCATTGTCTGTACGTAAAAAGGAGAGACGTCTATACTAATAAAAACTTTATTTCCCATTATTTTGCTAGTCAAGTTTGAAGGCTACTGAATGAATCAAACGAGACAGTGCTTAGTCATTTTAGCTTTTCAGACGGTAAAACACCTTCGCACGTATACATATATATTTATATACACGTACATTTATATACATATAATAGTCACAAACCCAGTAACCACGTTCGATCGTGGTCATTTGACATTTAATTCTTTTAATTATACACGTACGAGTATAACTTAATTTCAAATTGGATTATTTTATTTCGATAACTGTAACTTGATTCTAAAGGGTTGTTGTTGCATATTCAACAAAGACCTCAAAGGAATACCGCTCTTAAATAGGATACAAATAAAAATATATGGACTTTTACATCAATAAGGCATTATATAAAGTTTTTGATAGAGTTCCAACGAAAATAATTTATATTTTTTTTCTCTGATTTTATTAAAAAAAATATCAAAAATTATAAAATATATAAGAGAAATACGTATGTATGAACGGCTAATATTATAAATGCTTCCAAAACTGAGTTAAAATAGCGCTAAAACCAGTACAAGTTTCAAATATTGCGGGTTCGTCGCTTGATCTAACGTCGTTGTAGTCTCCGTAGACTTTTGCTAAATAACTCCAAAACTAAGAGGAATTTAAAAAACTGTTCTTAACAAAAGTTTTTCTACTATTCAAAGGTTATGTTCTCATATAAGCTTCATTTATATGAATTTAATTATAAACGAGAAAAATGAAAAAGTTTTAAAGCAAAAATTAAGTGTGGTTTTCGCGAGTAAAAATATTGATAAGGGGCATTCACTATATAGACTCTAACGGCTAATATAGTAAATGTTTTGAAAAGTGCCTTTAAATAGCGCTAATACCTATGTAGGTTTCAAATATTGCAGGTTCGTCGCTTGATCTAACGTTGAAGTTTCCGCAGTTTTTCTCAAATAACTCCAAAACTATGATGAAGTGAAAAATATGTTTTTAATAAAAGTTTTTATACCATTCAAGGGTTATGCCCTCATGTAAGCGTCATTTTTATGAATTTAATTATAAACGAGAAAAACGAAAAAGTCTTAAAGCAACAATTAAGTACTTGTTTTCGTGAGTAAAAATTCATGGTTTTATCAATACAATGTACGAAACTCGTTTAATATGGCAAGGATGTCAGCAGCTGTGCCCTTTTGGAAATGCTTTTTAAACATGTTTGCAGCAAGTTTTTAACTATTTAATGGTCCAACTGACGAAATTTATGCTTTATACACAATTTTTTGCCGTCTGGCAATGTCATATGAAATGCGAAACAGTGCACAGCTCGAACATACACATTTCCATCGTTTAGTGGTTGATCTTTTTATACGAAAAACATACACAACACACACACACCTTGTCCCATACGTGTCCGCCTTTACAAAACAAAGCCTCTATAACTTGCATACAAAAAGAATCGCAAAATGTACGCGTTGTTATTACCTAAAGTTTCGAATGAAGATATAAATTATTTCAAGAATCAATTTTTTACAAATTTCTCTTTAAGAAAACGTGTATATCCACACCGTACTTTCTCCGTTTACAAATTAATTTGATACCCTCAGTTATACAACAATATATTAACATTTGACGACTCAGGTGAAAGTATTGTTAATAAATTAAATATGTATACACGTATTTCTACGATTTCGCAAAACGCTTTGATTTATGAGACATTATGCTAATTTTAAGTAGAAGAAGATAGTTAAAGAAATGTTTTGGACTAAAATGGAAAATGCCCTAACACGTAGAGGAATCGTCTACAATATCTTTCGATGATTGTAGAAGTTCTCGCCGTTGCGTTGTTCAACTAGTCTGTTAATGACAAAAGACTTGCGAACAGTTTAATAGTGAAATAACGGTAAATAAACATTTGGATTGCAGTTGGTAACGGTGTTGATGTATTAAGTCATTAAAATTTGTCAAAAATAATTCAATAGTTACATTTCGACGGATTAAAATATCTCGGCCGTATTATACTTTATATGTATATATATATTTCTTTATCACATGTTTAAAAAGAATATCCTACAACAAGTTGAATGACTTTTCTATTGAGGTTGCCATCTGTTTATTTAACTTATGCAAGCAGTTTTTTTTTTCTTAATTTTCAACACATACATTTTAGGAGTTTTGCCATTATCACAAGGATATTGAACTGTTTTCGCCAACAAGAACAACACAAAATATAAATCTATCACAACCAACAATTAAACAATTAATAATTAATTTAAAAGTATTCTTAAAAGCAAATTTTTCAATGGGGGGATTGATTGTGAAATATATTTAAAAGAACAATATTAATATCACTAAACAAACGTGGATTTATTTAAGAAAAGCTCTGGCAAATGAAAGTGTACTAATTTATGTTAAATACAAATTAATTTGAAACTATCATTTCTGGCTATACAAAAACTGTTTAATTTATTTTAATATTTACCTCAAAAAACGTTTTAATTTGTTTCAAAATCGTTCAATTTATGTGTGTGGTAAACTGGTAAGTAAAATATTCGTGCCCATAAACGTTTTTACGAAGAAATTGCCATTAACTGAAATAATAAAGACACTAAGCTATCCGTCGGAAATTGATAACACTAATGTACGTTTCAGTTTGTTCTTTAGAGCATTAATTATATATTATGGAATATGTATTAATTATAGTACCAAAACATGACATCTTTCAAGAGAAAAAAACACTTTTATTAGGCAAAAACTCCAATGTTTCACCCATTGATTAAGCGCTTTTTCTAGTTTGCTTGTCTAAAAGTATAGAAATAATTTGTTATTTGTTTTCGTTAAATATCAAATCCTTATTCTTTAAAATTCTACTACTTATTACCATTTTCTTTTTGTGTTTTTTATTGTCGGCTGCTGTAGTTCTTTTTACAATTATGTTTGCAACATTTTCAGTGGGCAAGCAATGTATTCACATGTTTTCTTGCGCAAACATGACAGTTCATTATGATCAACTAATTAATACATAATTTTCCATTATTTCCCTAATCAACTTTGTACTACCAATATGTGAACTCTTTCAGGTGAGAAAAACCACTTTTATTAGACAAAAACTCCAACTCTTTTTCAAAGAAATTGTGGAGTCAAGAAATCAACTTCTGCCTTAAAATTATGGTTTTTAAAGGAGGCAATTAAAATTATTAAACTAATATTCACTGATTGTACAGACTATATATGTGCATGCACGGCTAATATTATAAATGTCCTCAAAAGTGACTTGAAACAGCGCTAAAACCTGTATAAATTTCAAATATTGCAGGTTCGTCGCTTATTCTGGCGTTGAAGTCTCCTCAGTTTTTTTCAAATAATTTCAAAACTAAGATGAAGAGAAAAAAACTTTTTTAACAAAAGTTTTTCTACTATTCAAGGGTTATGTCCTCATGCAAGCGTCATTTATATAGATTTAATTATAAACGAGAAAAATGAAAAAGTACAGCCATAATTTTAAACACCATAAAAATTAATAATGATGTTGTATATAAAATACTTTGAGATGATTATGATTATGATTTTAAACTAGTTAAAACTATTATACTGTTGTTTTGAATGATAATTTTTTAATATTACTTTTTTAAATTTAATTATCACCTACAAGGTGAAGCTGATTTTGTACTCAGTATTATTTTACTCGACAATTTCATTGAAAAAGCTCTCATCAAAGGATAAAAAGTTGGAGTTTTGTCTGGTAAAATTAGTATTTTTTGACCTGAAAGAGTTCGTATATTGGTAGTACAAAGGTAATAAGAGGGATAACAGAATATTATGTATTAATTAGTTAATCATAATGGACTGCTATGTTTGCGCAAGGAAGCATGTGAATTTATTTTTTGAGTATGCAAATAAAATCACTGAAAATGCCACAAACATTATTGCAAAAAGAACTACAACAGCCGACAATAAAAAAGCAGAAACAAAATATTAACAAATAGCAAGCTTTCAAAGAATTATATTTAACGAAAACTTATGACAAGCTTTTTCTACACTTCTAATCCCAAGAAAGCACTTAATTTTTACGAAACGAAGCAAATTATATGTATTCATTAAACAGATGTAAATATTTTAAGAGAATGTTATTGTGATGTACTTTGTGGGCTACTATAATGAAACTTTTGCTTGGAGTAATACAAAAAGCTCTTTACATTTTGGGAAGGCAACATCGACATTGCGCCTTTAGATGTAATTCTTCCTCAAGGTAGGTTTTTTTGTCAGTATATATTGTTTTTTACTGATGAATAATCGACATTGGAAAAAGAACTGTATCTAAAGGCGAAACGTCGGTGTTGGTTTTCCAAATTACAAAGAAGCTTTTTCGCCCTATATTAGCTTTGATTTTACAGATTAGAACAAGGGAAACTACAATAAGTAATAATGATTGTGCAATCGATTGCGATTTGCATTGGCGAATTTTTGCACAACAAAGCAAACGGATAAGCATGCTGCGGCTGTGAAGGTTGCAAATTTTCCAGTAACAGACCGGTGACAAGTAAAATACCTGTTTGAAACCGACGAGTGAGATTAACAAAGCGACCGACAGCATTCGCGAATTTCCTCGTCTGGTTCAATCGTTTATTCGGTTATTATTGTTATTATAAGTAGAAGTCAAATAAACAAAGAAGCAGTTTAATATTTAGTTAGTAAAAAAGTAGGCGCAGTATATGCATCTAATAGAAAAGCAGTTGTCGGAGGTCGAAGGCGAGAGTGGTGACGGTGACACAACAAACTTACCGCGGTAGCCTATGTCGTCGTATAGTTGGAGCATAGTGGATGTAGGACAAGTCCACTGGGGGTCGGAATAGACCATCATGTCGGCAGCGTGGCCAACTTCGTCGTCGTCGTCCTCTGAGGCAGCGGCAGAAGATGCTGACACTTGGCCAGAGCCGCCTGAAGGTTCAAGGATGGACCGCGCTACCAGCTCGCGGTTACCACATGCAGTTCGCATTAATGAACACTGCATCTCTGCATGCTGTTACTTTTGCTGTTGCTATGGTCACAGTGGAGTGGCGACGACGATGACGCTCAACGCTCTCCAACTTCTCCCAGCTCCTCCACTCCTTCTTCTTCTTGCAGTTGTTGCTGATATTTGTGTTGTGGTGGTGTTGTGTGGTGTGGTGTCGTGTGGTGGTAGTGCGGAAATGGTCTCTTGCCTCTTAATACTCGCCACAACTACTCCCTCGCCCTCTTCTGACGCGAGACTCGGAGTCGGAGACCCAGACCGAAAGTGTCTCAGTCAAAGCTCAAAGCCACCTTATTTCGCCTGCTGACGTCTACTGGCCGGACGACGCGGTCTACGCCTCTCCTGTCCAACAGACACACAACTGTTCCTTCTCGACGATTGCTTTTCTTTTACTTGCTCCCACTTTTAATGCCATGACGCAAAACAGAGCCGCATTAAGAACCGTTTTTCTTCTTCCACTACACAGATCACTTGCAAATTTTCTCCCATAATTTTCGCAACTTCTCCCATTTAGTCTTCATTTATCCAAATCTCCACGTTTTCGAAAATCTTTTTGTCGTAATATGAGATAAAAATATCAACATTAAATCCATCAACCCTAAAACCACTCAAACCACTTCTTTTTTTACAAATAAAGCTAAATAAGCATTTGAGTACTTGTTTTAATCTTGTAGTTGTATTTCAACCCTACTATGTATACATATATTCTCTATTTTCAATTGCCAAATTGCGAGTCTCCATTAACTCTAACTTATTTTCTTTTTCTGAGTAAATTTTCATGTTCAATGTGTGCGACAAAAACATTTCCATCGAAGGTACCTTCGAAATTATCTACACAATTTCTGTATTACGTTTAGCCAATTGTAAAAATCTTTGTTTGACATTCGTCCATAAAATATTTACTAAATTATTCAATTGTTAATTAATACTATTATTCCAGTTCTTTAATGTTCTATTAATTCTGTCTTTATTCTCTTAGTTTAGACGTGCGAGAAAACAGGAAAAGCGTCAAGTTTACTTGCGAACTCGTTATAAAATCTAGACCCAATCCTGCGTTTATGGCTTGGAAGGAAAAGGAAGAAGCCGATCATTGTGCTATTCTTCTTTTCGTGAGTCTTAATATGATAAGAAAGCGCAGCAAGTTCTCATGCGAACTTGACTATACGCATATCGCGTCCACTATTGTTCGTACTAATGTAAATTCAGTTGATGAGATAATTTTCTCAGGAAAACCTGTTTTACGCACAGTGTCGTGGGTGAAACCCCCAAACACCCTCAAAATAATTATAATTGTTTTCTCTTCTTTACGAAAAAAATTAAAATGTTAATACTAAAGGAAAAATATTCTACGTACCTTGAAGATAAAAAACAACGAGAAAAACTAAACTTAGAATTAGGTACATTGTACGTATAAGGTAAACAGGAGCAGCCTCGGAAAAACCAACCAAAAAGCATGCAGGCGCAGTAGACTGGTCGAAATGCCGCGATGTCTCCCCTATTCGGGGACGTTTAAGTTTCCCTTTCGTTTATAACAAAGCAATTATTTTCCTTCAACTTTATCCATTTTCTTTTTATATATGTGAAAAAGTCAAACTTGTTAAATTTTCCTCGCTGTACATATGACACATTTGTCTTATATGACTTTCGATGAGTTAGTTCTTTGTTTAACCCTCTTTTTTTTGGAGCTTATAAAAATTTAGCGGTCCCTGAAAGACGTACCTACACCGTAAGTAAGGTAAAAGCATAGATGTGTGACGCATTCGTAATTTCCTAATTCAAAATCAGTTTTTATGATACGAATGTGATTTTGCATATTGCTTTATCAGGTCGTTCAACGCTGTCTTGTGCAAAACTTGCAGTCCACCGCGTTGGGGTACATCTATTGACAAACTGCTATGCACCGGTTTGAACACCACATTTCTTTAAGGTAGTGTAACTGTAATTCTTGTATAATTCCTGCACAGGTTGCATCGCACATAACACAACACTCACTTGTCACCACTAACAGTTAGATATCATTAGATACAATTATTAATTAATCTGTTGAATTTGGTTTTGGTTAACCACTTATGTGATGGTTTGCCTGTCTCTGTTTATAATGAAAAATGTTCTACGTACTATTATTTTCCGTTTTGCTTTGTTGTTGTATTGTAATTTTAAACGCGATCGAAAGAACAAGTTTGTGAAAAAGTGAAGATTAATTCCCTTGCCCCTTTTGCAGGGCTTCTTTGCCTGTTTTGCTATTTACTTACCGTTGAAGAAGCCTTATATTGAGAACGAAATGTGAAACAAATCAATTTACAAATCACGGTCCGCGAACAATAAAAATTGAAAAATATTCAGTTTCCTTTTTATAAAGAACGAATTTAGAAATGATTGCCTTGCTGTCATTTTATTATAGTTACCTACACATGTAAAACATAAAACGTTAACAAAGTTTTCAAGATCGAACTATTTTAATACGAATATATTAACAGATAAAGTATGTGTAAATGAGGATGTATTTTAGGAGAGTATCTACTTACTTTTTGACGACATTATGAGAATGTTCGTTCACTGACTGGCTTGCCAATTAATACAATTTTGCTTTAAATTAGCAAGTGGCCAGGTTGTATTTCTTTACCAATTCTCATTACACGGTGTGGCTGCTTGAAGTATTTAAGATGTTGAAAGGGTATTATTTGTTCAAGTATTGAAGTATTTCAGAAACAAGCGAATGCTAAATAGCTTTTTAAACAGATATGCCGCTTAAGTATTTGACAGATCACTTAGCTAGTCACAAACATTTAAAACTCGCAAACTTTACCGCTTTTAAAATTCAATCGACGCTAAACTACTTAAACTACCGTTTAACTACCATTTTAAAATCGAAACACATATCATATTTATCCATACGATATACTATCAATAAACTAATGAACAAATCAATATATTTTTTATAAAAGATACACACTTTCTTTAACGCCTTTAACAACAAAAGAACCCTTTTTATACTTTGTAACACATTATAATTAAAAAGCTGTCATAAATACATTTGGGATTGGTTGTTTTATCTGATCCTTATTTCTGGAATTTTTATTATCCTTTATTATTCCCTTCGAAATGGGCAATCTGAGATTATTACAGAAATTAATAGATATTGATAGTTAATTCTTGATCGATTTTGATGTGATAAGAATGTGAAAAATCTTTTTAAATATGTAGTATGTGAAATAAAAGATTTGTAATCCAAAATCGAGAACGTTCATGAAATTATATCAAATTGAATGAGATATTCTAGTTCAACATACTGAGCTTAGTCAAAATCGAGTCTTAAGTTCAAAATTGAAGAAACATTTTTCAGTACTGGTCATGTTTGACGCTTCCTGCAGGACAAAATAGCCATGGAATCCAAAAACGTTCCATTTAAACACTACTCAGGGAACTCCCTCTCTGTTCATTTCTGCAATAATCTCAAATGTCCATCCCTAAGGACAAATTTTTCTTCTTTAGTTCATTGTATGTTTCACAACTCTTTATTATGTGTAATTTAACAACTTCGTTAAAAATGAATAAAACTTTTGGTTTTTACTTTAGGTGTATATCATAATAAATTTGAAGGTATATAGTTATGATAAAACAAAAAGGGTTTGCCACTTGCGATTAACATATTATACAGTTATTATAATAATAATTAAAAAACAAATTATCGTACTTACCCCTTTCGAAGTATTTCATAGTTTCCACATGAACGGGATAATAATGTGAGCACCGAGAGTTTTTCAAACAAAGTGAACTAAACTTACACTGGATCTATTTATGTACATACATTTATACATAAAGCATCAGAAGCGGTAACAAATGTATAATGTAGGTACTGTTCTTTTACAGGTAATACGTTACATGAAAAGCAAATAGTTGCAATAAATCTATTGGTTTATTGTTGCTTTAACGTAACGGACTTTTATCTATACATAATGGCTCACTTTTAAGGAGAAAAAAGTCAACCGCGTTTATGTTACATAATCGCTATAATTTTAATGATAACACATATCAATGGTAACAAATTTTGGCCCAATTGTTCAGTTCTTTTTTTTATTAAGTGCAGAAAAACGTATTATATCTCCGAAAAATTTTTCGTTATTTTCATTTTAATTTTTCTCCTTGCAATTGCTTCATAGACACACTACAAATTCAAATTTTTGCGTACATTAATAAGTCAAACAAGTTTAAATTAGTTGTCAATAACATACTTTTCTGCAGATATAAAAAAGTAATCGAGAAATGATTTCAATCAAAATGGTCATAGATAAGGGAGAATCAATTCAGACTTTCCATTAGCTTGTTTGTAAATGGGACTCTATACTATATTTATTTAANAAATAGTACGATTTAAAAATTGTATTGGTACAATGTAAATGGCAATACTGAAAAAGAGACAGTAGGTACGTGCTAGAACATTTAAAAAGAGATAAAAAACACACTGATAGTACGAAAACTCACTACATTGCATTAGATATTAATTAATAAATATAGTATTAAGCTACTTCCTTAATGGACATTCCTTGGTTAATGTAAACCTCTTGCATCGGATGATTTCCAGAGGAAGAGTGCATCATTTCGTTATGACTTTTATTTCCATTTCTTAATTTTTTGAATAAGAACATTCTTAAACTGTATACGCCAAAACTGAACAAATGGAGAATTAAATAAAAAAATAATACTCCAATACAAAAAGCTGACGTTTGACCTGGTTTATTCCAATCTAAAATTGTGTAAATATAACTGCAACCATATCTGCAAACATCATCTTCATTTAAATCCCTACATTTCAGAATCAGGGAAAACTATTCGAATACAAATAGTTTTCGTCTGCAGATAATTGAACAAAATCTCTAATTCGGGTCTAAATAAAATGAATTGCTTCATTTATTCCCGATTGATCGACAATTTTCTAATTAAATCCGTGCTGTATTATTCTTATAATAATTTCAAAAAGCCATATCACAACTCGAAAAAACTCAAACAATAAACGATCAAAATAGGAAATTTGTATGGTTGAAGAAGTTAAAAAAGAGAAAAAGGAATGAAGGACTTTCAGAAGAAAAATTTAGCCTAATTATTTCCTGTCGCCTCCACCATATTTTAAGATTAATTATTTCGGAATACAAAATTTTTGTTTTCCATAGTATGTCTTTGGTGAATGAAATTTGGTGAATGGATTAACAAAGTTCTCTGCGCGTGTCCCAAAGACGAACAGAATCATACAAATCCTTTGGGAGGTAAAATTTATTACCCCTTTATAAAACATCTATTTAAATCAATATAATGCATATCCACAGACAAAAACTATGAAATCTATATATTGCGTAAGTGTTATGTTTATCCACTGCGTAAAAACTAATGGGTTTACTGTGAGAATACATGCTATTTACCTATCAGTTCCTCCTGCACTCCAATATATAAGGCTAAATACAAGGTAAACGATGCCAAAGAATACTGGCAGGTAAAAATGAACTATACGAACTGGATGCGCTACCACCATCAGATCCAGTAACATAAGAACGGAGTTCATTGCGTGAATCATCACGTTCATGGTATCCAAATCATTACCTGTTAACATTACGTTTCCGATTTAAATGTAACTGACGTGTAACATACCAAACAGCCTCAAATTAATAAGCTAATAATACTTCATAACAAAAATAACAACAGCACAAAAGAATTGCATTTCCTGAAAATGTCTCGCGGAATCATTGTCGGAATATGATATCTTAATCACCTCATATGAGAATATATTTTATCATCTTACCCGTCCGACTGACATGCTAGATATGAATTATCGACAGGCGCTTTTTATTAGATATTCTTGCAATTACTAACTGACAACGGATTCGATCACGACCTATGTACTTAATCAACGACTCCCATTATAAAATGTTTAATTTACCCGTCGCGTTGACATGCCAAATATAAATTTTCGATAAGAGCCTTTTTACGTGACATCCACACAGTTCGACTTCTATTTCACCGTATTGATTTTACCCGTCAAGCTGACATGCCACATATGAGTACATCTTCGACATTGCGCTTTCCTTTGACATTAACTAGCTTAAGACATATTGGTATGAGAATGGGAAAATGGGAATAAGTACGATTATGTCTTCTACCACCCCATATTTATTTTACCCGTCAAGATGACATGCCACATAAATTTCCGTTACAAATATATGCTGAGATTGTCTAAGATGATGGTTAGAACAGTTAGGTGTTCTTAATTGGCCCGTTTCCTTTTTGATAGAAAATCACCCTGTAATATACCGGTAGCCGTAAACTCGGTCGCTTACGCTACGTGTTTAACTTACATGCTACATACACCGAGTTAAAATCGTTCAAGAGCAGTTGTGTTAGCTGTTGTTCAAGACCAGTGACCGCATCTGACGACATGGCCGTCAAAGACAGGTTTGGACGCGTGTTATAGCCGTCCGTCGTACTTGGCCAACTCAATAATTCCACATCTTTCATGTATTTACCTTAATTATCGATAATTAACGCAAATACAAATTTAAAATATCGCAAATATTTGCCAATTTTGATTTATTACGTTCTCAAACTTCTAAAGGCGCGACCGGTTGGATCACTTGCACCGTTCAAAAGCATTCACAAACTAATGACCAAATATGATCTAACATGTTTCCCAAACTGTAATTGCCCAATATATTCTAACATAAAATTTAATTACTTGACCATTTAGTTTCATCATCGCAATCCACCCTATACATATTGTTATGAGACCCGACACTTGAACTTTTGATATAAATTACCGGTCGTAAAATTTCCAGGACCGGCCATTAGAAACACATGAATCATCAGACTAAACAAGGAGGTTGGGTAAACTATTTGTAACACTTCTTTTGCGCATTCAATTTAGACCACGAATCTTTCCATTTACGAGAATATAATGGCCGAAGAAAGTCGAATTTCCGGGTTGAAAAGCTATCTGTTTAACCAACTTTTCGATACAAGTATCTTTTATTCGGTATAAGCTGTATTAAACACTTACTGTCATACAACAGCGACCAATAGACAATAGAAATCAGGAAGGCAAGGTCAGTAGCAATAGTGTTTGCAGCCCAATAAATTTTGTATGGCATCAAATAAAGAGGCTTCTTGTACTGTTCAATATTAAAATCTAGAACAAACACGTCATTTTAAAACAAAAAGAAACTTAAATAACGGTGGAGATTTAGCTCATCATAAGTGTAATTAATTGTTTTAATAGTATAGTAAAAGAGATATAAACCAGCAACACACTGGTGAAAACTAATTAAGATTGCTCGATTCCAATTATTTTATTTTCAATTCGCTCTAATCGTCACTTAAGTATCTAGCAAATTTGTTAGGTTTCTTTAATGTTGCACAATTTAGAAATCAAATAAATTTTGTTAATAATCTACGTACACATACGTAGGTATATTGTATACTTCCTTAACCACTTAATCAAGGCGAATATTTAAGAACCTGTTCTATTGGAACAGTTAATGATGTTAATTTTTTCAAAACCAACTTGCAACATTTCACATAAACTTTTCAAGATTTTAATAGCTCTTTTGAACTAGAATTTAATTTGGGATGGTGGCGACAGTTATTATGCCAACTACTACACGTTCTGCTAAAGTTTTTTTCTTTTGGAATGTTTTGAAATTAAGTAATTAAATTGCAAAATCCAAACAAAGTACAAAATACCATGTTTTCTTATACATATTTTAAAAACGTTATCCTCTAAAAGAGAAAACCAAAATACTTTGTTATCTTTGTGGTGGTGTTATTATAAAAAAGCAAAACTTTGCATGGAGAAATGAGAAATACTAAATGAAGGTAAATGGGACTGACATGTCCAGGCGACATTATTTCTTATTAGGTACCATTATGTTAGACTCATTAAAAACTCCATAAAATTTTTAATAAAGTGGTATAGAGGCAGCCGTGCTGAAATATTTATCATACTATGTGCATCTTTTACAGATAATAACATCACAAAGGTTTTTCCCAACGTCACGGTTATTATTGTCGCATTCGATGCGCTCCTGACTGTACTACAGCAAAGTACTAAAGAAAGACGTCCTTTAAATAATGTTTTTATACATTATACGGGGTAACTAACCATGATAAACAATCTGCTGTTCCATTTTACGAATACCAAACGAAAAACTTTTAAGTACATGTATCCTTTACATAGCAATCGGAAATAAGTATTTAGTTCAGTACTGCGTGTGTTATATAGTAAATCTTAAAAAGGGAAGGGGAATGACGCATGCGTATACTCTGTCTAACATAAATGGAAGGGGGTAGGTGGCGCATGAGCAAAATTGTCCTATATATCGTACCTAATCGTAGGTGAGTGAAATAAGCCGATTTATGATATAGATTGAAAATATTGTTTCCTTTTATTAAATTAACAATTTTTTGTTAATTTTTAACGAAATCGCAGCACCATAATAAATACAATGAATGTACAATAGTTTTAATACACATGTACACAGTATGCATTTTTTCTTTCTTTTAATACCCACGAAAATTAACATAAACAGCGGATACATGCAACTTGATTTGTTGTTTTAGTTAGGCATTTATCTGAAAACTATTACCCATTGTCTTGTGAGAACAACGTTAATGTATAGTTATACGAAAAGCGTCCTTCCGTCAAGCAGTTTTAAAATTCTAAATGTTGACCGTCTTTGTTTCGATGATGACACATTCGCTGCTATCCGGGAATATTAAGTTTGTAGTAAGTACTTATAATGTCGACAACATCAAAATGCATCAACAAAATTATTTCAGTCACGAATTAGTGTAGATTCGGCAAAGGCCGCTTCAAGACAACCTTGCGCTTTGAAGAAAAGCTTAATGCATATTTTCCGAAAAGCGATACGTATAACAGGCAAAATATAAAAATTATTATATTATTAAAAATCATAGAGGCTGTAGCTACCTCGAGTTCTTTGGTGGANACAATTTGGTCCTTAGGTTTATTCTGGATCGCTAAATTTGATGTCAAAAAAGCCTCCATCTTTTGAACTATCCTTTTATATAACTTTTTACGATATTGAAGCTATTGTATGGAAAAATACGTAGATTGAAAATTAATTCATACTACAATACTTTCTCTTAGAGATGAAATATTTGAAAGTTTAATTTTAGCAACTGCTATATTTGTATGTAAATAAAATTTTAAATTAAAGCGACGTTATTTTCTTGGCAAGATACAAGTATAAATTTAATTTTTGTGTATTAACATTTAGTCGTAAGTAGTTTTAGTCCTAGTTTAATATGCAAGAATCAGAATTGCTTAATTTCGTGTTCCAATGAATACCTATTTACTAATTTTATATTAATGCGTCTATAACAGTATCGGATGTACTGCTGGAGGCAATAGTACATTATTATGCGTTACGCAGCTTGTTCACATATGTATAAAAATGTGTTCTTTTTGGTAAAATAACAGAACTAAAATCTCCACCCACAAGAAAGCTTTTCTGCAATGGCAAACATATACCTTTATTGGCGTAGGTGATTACCCAAACTGTTACCATCATAGCCGATAATAGTGCTTGAAATGTACATACAGTTAAACCCCAATCAGTCAGGTATATTGTCCATTTCCCTTGACTGAAAATAATGGACAAAATCCATACTATTAAAAAAAACAGAGCAATAGTCCATCTTAAACCAAGATAAATAATACTGGGACCGTAGGTCTGTTGCCACTATAATCAAAATACTTTTGTTGGTTTCGTTTTCCCAAACCTGTGACCGCTGTATATTCGTAAGAACCTATGTCCACTTACTTGTGATTTAAAAAACACATGAGGATCGGGGTGGCTTAGAAGGAAATTTTCTTTTGTAAATTGCTTTCTCCATACTTCTATCATTCTTCCTGTAACAAAAAGAGAATAGTATTATATGTATGGTACTTTTTAATCTATACATCGAAGACGCCATCAACATCATTAAAGACAGTACAACTGTAGGGATAGACGTGCAAGGGCAAAAGATTAGTATGCTTAGATTTGCAGATGATATAGCAGTATTAGCATCTAGCAAGGAGGACCTAGAGATAGCTTTAAATGAAATGGAAGCGGTACTGACAGATCAGTACTGTATAAAAATAAATAAAAGTAAAACTAAAATACGGATATGCAAGGGAAGAAAAAGTAGGGAAAGAGCGAATATAAAGATAGGAGACGAAAAATTAAAAGAAGTGGCTGATTTTAGATACCTAGGAAGTCACATAAGTGAGGATGGAAGGAGTAGTAGGGATATAAAGCAGAGAATAGCGCAGGGTCGTGTCGCCTTTAATAAAAAGAAGTCTCTTCTATGCTCGCGAACGGTTAATTTAGAAATTCGAAAAAGGTTGTTAAAGGTGTATGTTTGGAGCACGGCGTTGTACGGGTGTGAAACATGGACAGTGGGAGCGGCGGAAAAGAAAAGGTTAGAAGCGTTCGAAATGTGGTGTTATAGGCGGATGATGAGGATATCGTGGGTAGAAAAGGTTAGAAATGTAGAGGTATTGGAAAGAATAGGAGAACAGAGGACTCTATGGAAGTCAATAAAAAATAGGCGAGATAGGTTGGTAGGACACCTTCTCAGGCATGAAGGTCTAGTCAGAGACATATTAGAGGCAGAAACAGGAGTTAGGAGGGGTAGAGGTAGACCTAGATTAGATTACTGTTCGCAAATAGTTAAGGATGTGGGTTGTTCTAGTTTTAGGGAAATGCGAAGTTTAGCTCAGGATAGGAAAGAGTGGAGGTACGTGTCCAACCAGTCTAAGGACTGATGACCTTATGATGATGATGATGAGGGCCGGATTTTCCCTTAGTGCCGTCCTGACGGCCACTGTAAAAAATGCCGTATCATTGCCTATATTCTACACAAAATAGATGAAGGTTGATCTATATTCTATGAAAACCATTAATTACTAATAACTTGTGGTAATTGTGGGTGAATGTCTTTTAATTTAATTATCTACCTTAGTACCATTTCTTATTCTTCTTAATATAATACAGTTTTAAAAGTTAAAGCCATGTTAAAGAAGTACAACATATGCAACACATTCTACTCCAAAAATTAACAAATTAAAACCCATAGGTATGTGAAAGAAATAATGTATATTAAACACAGAATTACGAAGAGGGTAATATCTTTATTCAATATGGAAATATTTCGGGAAATTGATGTTAAATTTTCTGCTGTTAAGAGTTAAAGAAACAAATGTAATTACATATACATATATAAAATAGAAATTATGCAAATGCTTTTAGACCAGTGGTTACGTTTATTTGGTTTTGAAAAAGATTTTGGGCTCTCTGTTAAAGGTTCGGTGAAACTGTCTTCAGCACACTAGCGTATCAACCCTAATGCTTTGTTGTATGAGTCACAAGAGGAGGGTTAAACTTGCCGAACCATTATAAGGGTGTTTGAAACATAACTCGCCTCTTAAGCAAAGCACTTTGCCACAATGGTCTCATACACAAAGATTACATCCCTTCTGTTAAAACTTCCGTTTAGAAATTACAGCGTTGCTTTTGATAAAGAATTTTTAAGTATTCCACTCTTCTTTCAGGGTCTTACATGGAAAATTTTCTGGCACTGTTTTAAAAAACTATTCAACGCACAAGTTTTATAAACCTCTCAGAACTTTTGCCCCGATTTAGGCCATAAAATCTGGGTTAATAATGCCAAAACGGCACGGATTATTATACAAACGTATCCACCAATTCTCGCAGTAATTTCTAAACAACTTCTAATGCCAACGAAAAAAGTTCAGGTATATTTCCTTTATAATCAGTTGACGTTAATTAATTATGTAACGTAACAAATCGTAATGATAGATCACGAACTTTAGCAGGATACAGATGTTAGAAACTTTTGCAATACATTAATGGGTTTATGCGTAATCGACCTACAGAAGTGTATAATACTATAACGATAGGCACTGATTGTATGCATAATTAGTTAAAAGCAATTGCTTGGTATTCAAAATAAACTTACGTATTTTTAATAAGGAAGACACTGAATTTTGTTGTGACCAGTTGACGGATTGTTTTACCTACTTCGTTTCAAAAACTGGTCAACTTTAATGCGTTTTTATCGAAAATCATAACATGTGAACCAAGACATAACAGTCTTGCAATTTCTCTTGCATTTCACGTTGCATTTTGTTATATAATAATATTGCCCTAAGATAGGTATCGTGTTAAACAGGAATAGTATCACAAACTCGAACAAGTTTTAAAGCATTTATTTATTTGGTATTACTAAAACGTTTAGATTACGTGTAATTCCCAGTTAATGACCAGACTAATTAGCTGTACTCAATAACAGATCAAATCGAGACAAAACTAAGAGAAGTTTCGTGAAATTTAATTTCATTTTTTAGAAGTTTTTATTGGTTCAATAAATGTTAACATTTCTAAAATCACTTCACCATAAATTTAGTAAAATAATTGATGAAAAAACTGTATTAATTCAACTTAATAGTGTAATTAACGCGATCCAAGCTGCTATAAGCTATAATCTGGTATGAAAATGGTAGATATTCAATTTTGGCAGTTTGTTTTTCTTTTTTTATATATAAAAGTTCAGTAATGCACAAAATGCTTATGAAAACACAACGTTAATAAGTTAATTTTGAAAAACAAGATTACAAATATTTTTTCTATATAATATTGATTAGTATAACGTAAATGAAAATTCGGTTGGACTACTTTAATAACCCTTTTCTATTACGTAATATCATCGTGGATTACTCGGTAATTTGTCCTTTTATATTCGAAAATTCGCATAGCGTTGAAAGTTATTGGAATGTCACCGGGAAAGGCTTCCTTTTTTCAGAAAGGCAAAGTTATCAAGGTAGCTTATTAAACATGACAAAAACACCCGCACTTCTCTGATGAGATGTCAAGGGAGGGTTGTTAGCAGCAACTGGCACACGTTGTACGGCATTAATAAGTTTTTCTAGGGTGTACTTTCCATCAGGCTAGGCCATTGCAGAAACGCCAAAAGAAGGCTTTGGACTCAAATTTAAAAGTTAAAATTTACATACAAGTCTGCGCCCTTCTACCCTGTCTCTTATCTCACCTTTTCCATTACATAAACCTCGATTAGGGGCTGCAAAGGAATTAAAAAATTAATAAAACTTCCCTATGTTCTCCACTATTAACAATAAGTTTCTCAAGTTAGTAAAGTACAATTGACGTATATTTAGTGTTTGGACATGACTACAATTATACTTTCGATATTTAATATATAAAGAAGAATAAGATGACACAACTAGGCGAAATTTAAAAGCGGCTTGCGGAAATTTCAAGAGTAATTTTTCTGTTAATAAAGTCTAGACCACCGACTTATGATTTAAACAAACTTTCACACCATTATTACAAGATATAACCACTTATTTAGACGTATAATAGATGCCTGTGAAAGTGAATCTAGACGTCTTTCAAATCGGAAAATTACTTGTCCTCTACTCTACCTATCCAATGAAACAATTTACATTACAAAAAACAATTAATTGTCTCTACCACTCATGTAAGAACATCTCTACCAAACACATTACTAAAAATTAGATACACTTTCTTCTACATTGAATAATTAACCAGCTTTTCCACGAAATATATTATATACATACATATATATTTATAAGACCATATGTACACATATTACGTACTAATTAAAAACATCTAGCTAGCATTGAGCATAATAAAAGCCAATAATTTAAAAGTGATGTAGAAAATATAAAGAAATTTTTTGTCCTTCAACCTAAGTTTTTAAATGCTATTCTGAAAATTGCCTAACAAAGTAGGCATTTTCTTTGAAGTTAATCGAAATACCAAGGTTAAAAACAAAACAAATGTGTTTTAACTTATTTAAAAATATGAATGTAAATTTAAGCAATGTTATATGTACATAGGCACATGTTATTCAATATTCGCTAAAATTCATCTCCGACGATATTGTCATGAAGGAACGTAACTACACGTAAGTATTACTCAGTGAAAGTTTTTCATTACAAACAAACAATACCTTGCATAACATGTTTCAAATGGAGAAATGTTGTGTACTATTATTATCCACGTATTTTGTCATACACTTTTAGGTACCTACTATAAATTTTTTTTCCGCGCTCATTACAGGGTTAGGTAAATAATCAATAAAGTTTTTTTGTTTAGAGTAAGGTTTGCTTAAGATTCGTATTAATATTCATCCTTCTTATTTAAACACAATTTACTGCCAGCAAATAAGGTCATATTTGTTCAAATAATACTTTTATGCAAAATCACGAAGAACACGAGCTGTTTTAATCAATTTTTTAATTAGCGCAATAATAATTTGTTTAAAATAAAATACTAAAGTGACTATATTTGTAAGTGTTTTCGGCTTCTTTTTCCTTCAAGCAAATAAATGAAATTCTCACACAAAGGAAGTATCATTTCCAGTTTGCAACATCAAAACCATGTAAGGAGGTTAATAGTATCTTCAAAATAAATGTACATTTAATGAATTAAGCAACGCATTCGTTTAGTATTTTATTTTGCAACAGTTTAGCAGTGCAAAACGCTAATAGATCAACCTGAATTGTTAGGTCCATCAAATGTAATTTACCTGGATAAATAAACGAAACTTTATCATATCATCATAATTAAAATGTTACATTACATTTACACTTTCCTCTAATTTTTTTAATTATAATTATGTAATCTTGAAAAATTCTTGCAGCGTATAAACAATATTAATTAGCTTTCAACTCATGAACGTAATATTCACTTCAAACATTTTCTCCTGCAAATAAATAAACAACTGGGTCAAAATTATTGACAATGGAAATATCGTGTGCATTTTTGTTTTATAAAATGATTACGTAATAAATATTTAAAAGCATCTACAAGGACAGGAAAAGTAAATTAACAATTTTTCAATCAAAAATAGATCATTGTCGTTTTCAATATTTAAAACAGTAATAACATATTTAATAGGTTATTAGCCGAAACAAAAATAGAAAACGTTCTAAGATAGATAAGGTATTAATTAAATTATTTCTTCAAGAAAATCAATTTTACGCGGAAAATTACTATAATTGAAAAGCATTATTTTAACATAAAGTGCATGTTCATGTTGCACGCTATAAAAATCAATACCTTAGGGAAATTATAAGCCTGTCGTGGATAAAATAACAAAAGCTAAGAATTGTATTTATTAACAATGAATAAGATAAATAGACAATAAATTGTTATTAAAGAATTGCATGGTTCACCTCTATATTTTTAAATAATTAAATATTATTTGCTTCTACACATTATTGGACGTGTATACCTATAGCATAATACTATTTTTCATTTTTGTAAAATAAATAAATAATATTTATATGAAATAATTTCACTTTCTGTTGTTGCGATTATAATTATGATGGATAATTAAGAAGCAGTCGTTAATAGCTGTATAAGAAGACATTAATTGCATTTGTGGTTTATTTACAAACAAAGAGTAGTTTAATAAGTATTCTGCTTGTATAGGAAAATGATGCATGTGCAACATATAGTTATAATGAACGTAAAATTGCAGGTTTTATCAAACAAGGAAGTTATAAGAATAATATATAAACATAAAGCAATTTTATTCAGAAACAAATATTCATTGGTCTACTGCCTACCCATTTCGTTTAATTAATACATACACTAGAGAAATAACGCGCTATTACAAAACTAGTGAATTCTTAATTGAATATTAATTTCCAACAACAAATCTGGATGACCCTGGAAAATTTGGTGCCGTCCCTAGTTTTCCAAATTTCTACGCGTCATTTCGCATTTGTACTTTTTTGTGTTGTGTTGACAACGATTAGCATACGAATAAAATTATACAAAAATTCAATTCAATAATAACGAAAGTTATTATAGATGCGGAAAAATTCGGCTTTGAACTTATCCTGATTACGGTCCTGTAACTTACCTATAAACGCTGCGAAAATACTTGATGTTTTAATAATATGTCTATTAATCTTAATTGATCCAAGATACACATATACGGTCGTTTTAGGTATGTGAGAAAGCGACAGTTGTTTTATTATCAAACAGTCGCCTCATTATGAAACAGCCAATATAAATACATATCCGTATGCATTTTTTGAAAATATAAAATAAAAAGGAAATAAATAAATCGTTTGCATAAATTACAGATAATACTTGTTTTTCTATTACTTAGAAATAAATAACTTATTTTACGCTATGAAAGTATGATTTAATAACGTTAAAAGGTCAGTTCTCAAGGTGTTAAATACCATATTATAATTATTTTCTTCCTCTTTACGAAAGGCAGTAAAACAAAATCCAAACAAATTCGGTGCAAGCCAAAAAAAAATTAAGCGAACCATCCACATAATTTTATTAGTTGGACAATAAAAACTTTGATTAGATACGGTTTATTGAATGACGAGCAATAACTGGTCGTAATTGACTGATAAGCGGTTGTTAGAATTTCGGAAAAAAGTTCGAAAACTTTCGCTTTCTACATGGGGTACAATTAGCTTACCTAGAAATGACAGAGGTGCTTCGAAAGGGGTGGTTTGGCGGTAGTCACCACGCAAGTGTGACAGCCACTGCCGGCTTCGTCTGTCTGTTGAAGAAGACCGCACACAACCACGTTACGAAGTAACAAAATTCTACCGCGTGCGACCTAGTGCGCGACCTGTGAAGGTAGTAAAGGCAAGGGGTAGAGAGGGGAGATCAATGCCTGAACAATCAAGTGAATAAACGAAATAACAAACTGCAGCCCGTAAAGTTGGTGATCCTTCACGCAGCATTTCTTCAAGGAGCGTGTGAAAATCACAAATCTTGCTATTAACTATCAATCAACAGACTAGTCGTATCACAGAGAAATGCTACCCCATAAACAAAGAAACAAACTAAATATTTTGCGCATATATTTTTCCCGAAATTAATAAGTTTTACATATTCATACACATAGTAATACGAATCGAGTTCAAGAAAATTCTACTTAAGGAAAATTTTTGCGTTACCATCAAAATTTTCATCGCTCTTACGTACAGTATACGTACTATTATTAATCCTACTGCTAATAACTCTTACAATCTTAGGTCACGATGTCAGACAATGTAAGTACTTCGCTGGTGTTGTCTTTTCCTATCGTAACCTAACCGTTTGAAAAGTCGAACCATTAAATATAGTTGCAGCGTTTTTTCTGAAGAAAATTAATGGAAATCTGAACTAAAGAAACGATTTAGATGTCAAATCCGCACTTGAATCTCGAGTTAGAGAAATGGAAAAAAATCGAATTAAAAAGTTTAGAATACTTATACGTAAAATAATACCTATGTGTGTCATGGGAACACAAAATATTCGAGTTCCACTGTATATTGTAAATAATAAATATAAAAATAAAAAGTGGAGCACTTTAATCGTACTTTTAAACAGACCTAGAGGTTTTATTCCTAAAACTTACTAAACATAAAATAAAACGTTATTGTCAAAAAAATATGACTAAACAATAAATTAGCAAAAAAAAACTAAAAATAAGTAAGAATTGCAGTTAATTGATTTATATATATTGTTATATATAAATATAAATGATTTGGAAGGACTGGGCATGCGGTGATGTTTTATGGTGCCAAAACCCCACGCATACTTAACCTTTTTAAATAGCGTTATTGCCTTACAGACGTCTTGATAATTATTCGAACAATCAAAGAAAAAAGCATTTGTCGTATTGTACTACACAGAGGTTTAAATCGGCTATTATTATTATGATTAATCGCCTGTATGTGAAATGTCATCCCATACAAGGCGCACGCTCAATTATAATAAGTACATATGTAATTTAAAGTGGAAGTTTAAAAAAACAATCGAAATTTATTGTATATATATTCACCAAAATTTTCAATACTTATTTTAAAAAAATTGTTGCTATACTAAAAAAAAATTAATTTTAAATGAACTTAAAACGTAGACCTCCTATGCATTAAATGTCTTGAAAATTTAAAAAAAAATAAAAGGATGAAGCTAATTTTTACCTTCACATTATTAGTATTGCCTAATTACAAAAATAATCAAGGTTAAAACATAAATTAAGTTAGATATGAATCAAACAATCTCAATTACCCTGATATCAATAAATTAACATTTTTTTAGATGAAGTTAAAGTGGAAAACATTATCTTTCAAAAGTATTAACTAGGTATTAAAACATTTATGAATTAAAATACATATATTTCTAATTTCTTTATGCATTTATTTTAAACAAAAATTATAAAACAATAAATTTTTCAACTACTATATTCTTTTGTGAATTCAGACAAAATTCCCACATTTGCAACTAATTAAAAACCATTCGATGAAATATAATTACTACTAACCATTCTTGTGTTTTTAAATTAACAAACTAAATAAACTGATGTTACCTGCCTTACGAATGTCCTTTAAAATAATACTACTTCAGCTGAACAACCTGGTTTAAATCGCAAACACTTCTAAACAAGCCATATCCGCAAAATATTGATAATATGTACTATATCTAACGAATAAAGTATTACCTATATCTTTTAGTTATCGTGATAATAGTTTATTGAATGATCTTCTAGGTGGAGTAACAACGGCTACCGATTTAATATCATGCTTTCAGAAGATAATAATAAATAGCAGGTGCAATAATTGTTAGTTATTAATGAGTATACTACTCATGTTTATTTTCTTATTTTTATTTGCAGCATTTGTAGTCACATGTAGATGTTAATTTAATTATCTTTTTATTGTTACCAATTTAGTGTTTCTTTGCTTTTTGACCCTGTTATTAGTCGTTTCCTTAGCGACTGTTGCGCTTTATTAAATAAACTACTGACTAAGGAATCTTAAAACTAAAAGTTTGTATCGTTTTAGATGTTTATTTTATTTAAATTACGGAAGATACATCTAGGATTAAAAAATCAAAAACGCCCGTTTAAATATTTTTTAAATGCTGCAACCAACGTTACACACTTGTATTGATGTTAGTTTATTCTCCCCGCGAATTTCAAATACTAAAAATAAATAGTAACACTCAGTATTTTCACACTTGAATCAAAGAAATATGTAAACAAACCTACTACATTCAAAGTTAAAATAAGAAACTGATTGAAAATATTTTAATTAATCGGTATTTGACAATTACCAATACGTAGAAAATGTTATAGGAAAATAATATTCGGCATATACTGTACGATTATTTATTAGAGTAAAATAAGCTAAGCAGATGTAAGCAGAGCATACAAACTTATTAAATAATTAGTACATGCAATGATTAGTGTACACCATATCTAAAAAGACTTTCTATGAAGTTTTTCGTAAAAGTATTAAAATTAATCCATTAAAATTACATTAGAATACATATTTTTAAATATCATTAGGTATTTTTATACATTTTGAAATCAATTCAGCTATTCATTTGTTTATTTACACACTCATTACCTTATTAAACTAACAATAGATTATATTAATCATGATAACTGTATAAATAATACAAAAAATTACAACATAAATACATACAAACAAAACATAACAAATTGGTAAATTAAAGAGTAAACTTGTAAAAAGAAATGTAGTCACTCAAATAACTACCTACGAAGCTCTTCCACAAATTTGCAGAAAGACATATCATTGGGGGCCCAATCTGATTTTGTTTTGTATACCTCAACACTTCTAGTACCATCCATTACAACACCTACATAGAAGAGTTAAAATCACTGTTACATAACTTATTCATCTTTTGTTACTCACTTAATGATGTTAAGCCATGATACTGAGAAATTCCATGCAATAAAAGTCTTTCAAAACTGGAATTAGGAGTTAATATATAGACCCCTTCACCAGTAGAGGAAGAAGTAAAGAAGTCAAGCAAATCCGTTTCAATTTTCTGTAACAAATCAATGGGAAGTTTCCTTTTTATTTTTAGCATTCTTCTTATTTTAGAAGAAATTCTAAAATAAAGTGTATTTATTTTTGGGTTTTCAAGTACTTCTTTTTTATGTCCTGAATTTGAATTTTTAAGAAATTCTTCTTGCTCTTCTTCCGATTTATGTATGAAATCATTCCAAAAATGTAAAGCAGTTTCATCTTCCAGTAATCGTGTTAATGGAGTTTTATGCTTATCAGCCAACTTTACATAGCCTGTAGCATCTTCTTCCTCTTCATTTAATGTTTGCAAAATACTTCCTGGAATGTGTTAATTGACATATTCCAATTGCTCATATCAGGTTGATTATAAATGATACAAGTGCTCACTATTTAAGTATCTTCTTTGTTTTCGTTTTCCTAAAGCTATAGCTCTTGAAGAAATTACATCATCAGCCTTCAGTACTACATTAGCCAGTCTTACTTGTCTTGAAGTTGTTGGCTCACTATGTAATGATTCGGAGTCACTTGCTGCAGTACTTCCTAAGCTACAAATTAACATGTGTAATATGTATTTGTCAGTTAATATGCAAAATTAACTTTAATGATTCTGTATCAGATGCGTTGTTGGAACTTGGGTTGTTGTAATTGTGAACTTTTCTACTTATAACGGTCATGACTCCTGGATTACACTCTTTTCCACACTTTAAAATAACTGAACACAATATTTAACTCCAATTAGCAAAATTATTATGTTTAAATATAAATAAACATTAAACGTCAATGTCAAATTAAAGTAGTTATTATAACTTAGGTTAGAATGTTTTATTTTAGAAGTGTTCATTTGCTCAGATGCATAACAAATCAGTAAATTATATAAATCAAAGTTCAGTTTAAACAATACCACATGCGCAAAAATATTTTCAAATATTCCCTGTGTGCTGTAAGTTTAAATACAGTAAACAATAATTTATGCATTTCTGAACTGCAGGTAATTTTTATGTATAGATAAACACAAAAATTTGTTATCTACTTTCACCATTACTGCAAGATAATATAATCTATTTCATTGTACAAAAATTATTGCAACTACGGTCTATTTTTGGGGAAATATAGATTCCATTAACATCAAAGAACGTAATAAAACATTTAAAAAAGATGAATTGTACATATTTATTGAATAAATACACAATATAACAAAGAACAGTCACTGTTAAACAAATTCTAAATGCCTGTATAAAAATATCTCAACAAACAGAATACTCCTGATAACACTATCAGTATTTATTTTAGTCATTATGTAACGTATCGGCCACTGTACAAAAATGTTTTATTTAATGTTTCGTTAGTAAAAAAGATTTTAGATTTAATTTTATTATTTACACTAAACCGGTTTACTTAAATTCATATCTTACATTATGTACAGTACTTTTCTATATCACAATAATACAATAATAGCACTTTGTTAATTAGCATTTTTTTTTTCAATATTTCAAGTTATAATGAGCATTGTGCAAAATTGTTAAGGGCCAAAACGAGTTAAGCAAACAAAAATTTACATTAAAGGCGTTTGTTTCAACAGGAGCCTGCTACAGGATACAATAACAAAAGTAGTTAATTATTTGTTCATGTGCATTTTACCATTTTTGTTTAATCAAAAATTACTCCTTTTCATAAATGAATCTACTTATAACAAAAACAACAAAATTAATATAGGATGAGGTATACAAGTGATTTAATTGAAATGGTCATAAAAGTAGAACCAATTTCTACTTTAAATAAGCATCAGACTTAATGAACATTCACGACAGATTTGTATTTTTTAAGTGAACATGTTTTAAATATAATTATACGACAAAAATGGACGTGAAAAAAGTTTAATTTTAAATTTAAGATTATAATTATCTAAATTACCTACAGCAATAATTGGATTATGCAGAATGCAAGAAGTGATAATGATAAATAAATAGGCGATTTTTATTCAGTGGCTGATATGTTATTAGTGTGTCTTTTAGAAGGGGGGACCAAATGGTTGGGTAATTCGTTAGGTAGATCATTACCATCAATTTTGACGTTAATTAGGTGCATGGCAAGTGCAAACTCTTCAGCATCTAGCATTCCATCCTTGTCAACATCTGCAAGTTTCCATATTTTTCCTAGTACAGTTTTGGGTAATTTAGATTTCACCATTTCTGATTTTGCAGCTAAAAGAAAGATTAAAATAGTATTTGTTGTACATGATCGATTCAGTTTGGAAAATTCTCCTTAATTTTATTACTAATATATCATAAACCCTGTTTTGACTGTATGTCATAATGTCAGTCCTATTGCATCATCTGCAATGCTATAATTTAGCGTTTCCTTTAATTTGTGATGATACCCAATATTTATTTTATTAAGTGGATTTACTGATAAATTAATAACGTTTGTCAAGATTTACTGACGTGAGTTATTTAACCAAATACAAGTCTCAAGTTTGTTGCAATGATCCACAAATTTTATGACAGCAAAAGTGTCACCAAATATTTACTATGTTATTAATAATGAATATTTGTTATGTGAATCATTCAAACAGTTTTAACCATATCTTTATGACAAAATATCGTACTATGAACAAATATAGTATAGTTTTGACAAATGTATTACACATAAATAGCTATTACTTATAGCTGAAAGTATTCTCAGTTCAACTGAAAAAAAAAAGATATTGATAAAAACATGACTTATTTCTTTGATGCTATTTACTTATTGTTTAATTTTATTATATTGAAAATAATAGTTATTTATTGAATTTTAAAATAAACACCAGGTATCAGTAATATAAAATGAAACATAAAAGATAAGAGTTTTAAATGAACTGTAAACTTTGAATCTCATTAAACACCTACTGATAAGATTTAACAAGTATTATGTAATTCAATATTAATTAATTCTTACCAGCTCCTGTAATTTTTCCATCAATTGGTTCCAGATTTTCAAATATTTCATCAAATTTGGGTTTAAATTTGCTAACAATCCAGTTAGGCTCACCAAATCCAGCATCAATTCCCTCCCCTCTTTTATAACCAAAGGGAGAAATTGTATCTTCAACATTTTCAAATGCCCCACCTTTAACAAGCTTGGTCTCAGAAATGTGATTTTCTTCCTCTTGTGGTATTTTTGCCATTAATGTTGAAATATCATCAGCTAGCATCCTGTCTACAATTTCTAGCAATTTTGGCTTTAGTGGATGAAATTTAGTAAAATCTTGATTTTGTAAAACTTCTTGCATTTTTTTAATTTCAGGAAAATCTCCAGGGGAAATTTGGTGTTCACGTTGTAATTTATCATAGATTTGCCCAAGATTTTTTATAAGGTCCTTCTTTTTAGAATCTTTGCCAAACATTGATGGCATGTCTTTACGTAATTCAGCAATGATGTAGGCATGAACCTTTGCCAATCTAGCTCTTTTAATTAAGTCATTTAGTTTTCTTAAAGCTGCATTTCTAGGCAGAGACTGCAAATCTTTAAACAAATCTTGCTCTTCATCTTCAAAGAGTCTTCTATTAACATCATATCTTAAGGGCTGATCCCAAAATGAACCAATGTACACCCTAGCTACCTCAGGGGTTTGAAGTACTTTGCCAAGTGACCACATAAGAGCTCCATAAACCCTCATAAGTTGTTGGTGATCAATCATATCTGCTTTGTTTAAAACAATACGTATTTTGTCATCATGACCCCTTAATGCTTCAATAGAACGACGAAATTCGTCTGAAATATCTAATTTATGAGCATCAAACAAAAGAATTATTCTGTCTACTCTTTCTGCAAACCATTCCAATACACCAGTGAAATCATAGCCCCTGTCAACCCTTTGCTTTTCTCCTGATAATATGCCTGGGGTATCAACTATAGAAATGTTTTTAAGAACAGGAGAAGGAACTAGTGAACACTGAAGGCGATTTAAGAAAGCATTTCCAAACTTTGAAAGTGGTCTAAATTGCTTTTTGGGATCAACAACCAAAGCATTACCTGGAATCATTCCCTCTTTTTCATCATACATTACAGCAATGAAGCGGTCAGTAGTTGGTTCCGGTCCTATTCTAATTCCAGGAAAGTCTCTCTCCAGTAAGTACTTGATGAAAGTAGTTTTTCCTGTTGAATATTGACCTACCAGCAGTATCATTGGTTTTGCATCAAAATCGGAATCTTCTAACTGTGGGGAATGGAAGTCATGAAACTGGTAATGCTGTTCCAGGGGTAACAGTTTGGTTTTGTAAATGTTTTTAAGCCCTGTTACTACATCTTCGTACACTTCTTCTCGAGTACTGCTTTTATTAAGCCAACTAAACATGTTTGTTGTCACTAGTTAACCTGACTCAGACACTACAAAAATACCAAACGAGCTGCACTTTACCAAAAAATTTTTTACGATGATAATGACAACGCTGGCTACAAATTTTATCTATAACAGGAACTGTAACTTATGATACAGAACTATTTCCATACACTATCACTAGAATTCGACCACGGCCCACTCGAATACAATGCGATAATATAGAACTACAGAGCTACTATACAGAAAAATTGAAACAACAAATCATAGACAAGAGCAGAGCTCATGAAATTACCACCATACATGACAAACGAGAAAAACAGAACGAAAAAATAATGGCATCCTTGTCTATCCAATGTCGTATCACTAAGTTTATCCTGCAAATGGGCTATTCAAAACAGGGCTATTTCATCGTCATTCGTCATCAAACCGATTTTAGGAGGTTTTTTCTACTAATCACGCAGAATAAATTAACAGAGCCTATCTCAACCGTATCAAATTAAATATTTTGCATAAAAAATCATTTGCACATAGGCGTCGGTATTACACATCTAACGGGATATTTAAATTAATTCATGTCCTACTACCATACTCTCTAATTATGGTATATTACTACTATAAACTGCTACAGGTGTAACTGTTAAATATTTATAAGAGCTACACCAAAAGATTGCTTAATAATTACGACACTTTTCAATCCAAAATATTAAAAAGAAACTATTTCTTCATTTTACTTAATAACAAGGCATGTCCTGCTAAAGTATTTTTTCAATTTGAAACTTCCACATAAGATTGCAAATCAACAAGAAAATTGCAAGTTTAAGTACATAATGACAGATACTATGCATTTTGTACATGATGGGTGTTATGCAAATATTAATATTTTAAACGAGACTTAAATAATTATCCCATTATGCCCTAATTGTTTTTTATAGTACATATTACTAGACTACTCATAAAATAAATAAATTAATTTTAGTCCCAAACACAAATATTTTTGCGCGCTCATTATTATTTACGCTGATGACTGTATGCACAATGTACTTCCTGTTTAACAAACGTATATTCTGTTACTTTATGAGTTTGATATCCCATTTGCAAGGCAATTTAAATAAAATTGGCCTTCATTATCAAGACATTGTAACATTAAAAGTAAATCGCGTGTGCAAACAGGGGTCTATTGGACTTAACCGCTAGATTTTTTTTTGCAATCGATCACAAGTTGGGATAATGCATAGTAATACATTACGCAACAACCGCACAGAGTTGCTGTTAAATAAATAATTTTGTTCTAATTTAGAACTCAATTAAAAAAACACCGCGTTTATACAATGCGCGTCGAAAATAATGCACGGAAGTCGAGCAACTTTTTGCGGCATCTTAATATTGTATGTAAACATCAAAACTTTTGATGCGCTTTTTCGGTATCAATTATAAAGGTTCAATTTAAATTAATTTATAATTAATACCAATAGAACACACCACGTCAATTAAGCGCACTTTGCAAAGCATAGGAAATAATTGAAAAACTTTTCATTTAAAAAACATATATTCAAAGGATTAACATCAATATTTTAATAATTTATAACAAATGA